AACCAGGTCCGATGTTGATTAGGGCTAGTTTCCAGATGTCTGGTAGGCGGGAGGTATCATCACGTTTATTCATGTTGGGGGGATGTTTTTCTATTTCGATGGCTTCCATAATTATTCTCTTGTTGTGGTGTTCAGTTTTGGAGATTAGTTTGGTTCCTTCAAAATCAATTTCATGTCCTGTAGCTTTAAGGTGCTGGGAGAGGGAGGAAGTTTTTTCTTCTTTTTTGACTGCGTTCTTGTGTTCTGCGATGCGGGCATTTATTCTCCTATTAGTTTGTCCAATGTATGTGGCTGGACAGATTTTGCATGGTATTTCATAGACTCCTTGGTTTTCTAGCTGGATCCTGTCTTTGGGGCTTCTTAAGATGTTGACTATTTTTTGGTCGGTGCCAAAGGCTGTCTTGATATTGTGTTTGTGGAGACCCGAATACGCCAAGACCTGCATACCTGTACCTGTGAAAATCTACGAAAGAATATTTTATTCCTCCCATTTCATTATAGTTGGAGGGACATTAAATACATCTTTCAAATTAAGATCAAGGGTAGTCAATTTGGAGCACTGCAAAAAGTTTGGATGACAGTTTCCACAATATTGTCGCCATTGGCCATACTACCTTCATTTGATAATGTTGTAGTCCTAACTTCTGCAAGTCACCGCAATTTAGTGGGCACACAATTAAAGTGGGGGAAAAATGAAATGCTACAAACCCATAAACTTCTTCAAGGTAATAAATTTCACGGGAGTACAAAGGGGCCAAATAAAAAGTTCTGACTGAATACCTATTCATTTTACCCCAAAGAGGTCAACAACAAAAAAGCACCACTTACAGCAGGCATGGTAGCGATGAAGTTGAACAAGTACCTCTTGAAATCTTTTCTACTGCGGCCAATGATAGCACTGCAAACCACCACATGCACAAGATTAGTGGCAGAAGCAAGACCCACGATGTTTCCACAAGGACAAGTGGAAAGCGGTAGGAAAACGAACAAAAGAAAAGGTCAACAAAAGAAGCAGCAAGACTCTGTTTACACCCTATCAACATTCCGATGTGCTCCCACATCTGTGAACGAAGCGACAGCTGAATCAGTGAAAGCCATCACCTCCTGTTCTACCCTTGCACTAATGGGAGTAATTATACAGGTGATGGTGGGTTTTAAACTTCCACATACCTTTGCCCATCTCCATGAAGACACCACACTTTGCAAAGAAAGCCATCACCCAACAAGCCTATTGTTAAGTTCCATGCCTCCACAATGCGTAGTTAACCTACACTTTTATCCTGATGTCACTAAGATATGTATTTTCTCCATTTCTGCTGGCATCAGGACATGGGGCATGTTAGGGATTTGAATTTAATAAAAGCCAATATAGAAATATATATAGAGAAAAAACAAGAGTAGGACAAGGAATAAAAAATTATATACAGGAAGGTGGAGAATCCAATAGAAAAAAATAATACTAATGGTTTAGAAACATAGCAGGAAGGAATTAGACTATGATCATCCAAAGATCAGTGATGTTTCTTAGTGTGCTCATCCTCAAATTCCAGAATTCTCAGCCAGCATGGCCAAAGCTGGGAATTGCACACCTAATATATGGCCTGGAAATTAGATTAAGACCAATCTAGAACAAGATTCATGTTGGTAGTGTTGGCAATTGAGACTGTTTACTTTAGCTTACTAAGTGGTTGTCTTTGGAGTAGCAGAAACCAACAGTGAAAGTCACCAGCACCATACTGTACAATTTGTAAGAATACAAATTTTGAAGCAATTAATAAAGCTTTAGAAAGACTATGAAGTATACAATTTAGCTGATATTATTCAAGCTAAATCTCTCCTAACTCGTAACCCACTGGGGAAAAAAAGCAATTGTTTCATTTATGCATCAGTTATGAGCATAAACATTGTAGATGCATGCTAATATTTATGTCTCTTTACCAGTGGAATGGAAACTACAAATTTAAGAAAGAAACTCTTGAATAGCGACAGATCCCTGCTTACGATTGCACTGAAAGAAAAAAAAATGTACAGAATTTAACATTTTGATTTCTGACGTGGCAGAGTAATCATTATATTGCTAACATTGGATGTTCTTGCTTCGACATATATACCTTTGACATATATACCTTTATTGAACAGAAGTAATGGATAATTACTACTTCAGAAATATAATTAACAACGTTCCTCAATAGACGTCAAAATATGAAAGGTAAAAAGAATAGCTATCTGTTAAGTTGCATAGAATACAGGATTACTGCATGAATGGAAAGCTTAAAATAAATTTTCTCTCTGTAAGCTTTGTTTAAAATTGATTCTTGATGCTTAGAGCAAAACTCTTGATATCCAAGAGTATTCATTATTTTTAAAACACCGTTTAAATAATTTGTGCCCACAATACTGCATTGTATTATACTGTATGCAACACAGGAATAAAGAATCATGTATTACCTTCTATAAAATAAACTAGTACGTATATGCGGTTCACTGACACACTCAAATATGTTGAAATTTCATGCCACTAGGGAATTCTGAGAGAGAAATCCCAACATATCTGGTGATACCAGTTGAAGTTAGTTGTTTAAACTATGATTTAGGCACCTCTAGAGGGCACCAGTTGAGCAAGGCTAACCCTTAAACTATGGTTTTTGCTTTTCTATGAGCCAAACTGGTTAATTTAAAAGTGGAAGATTCTTCTCTAGGCAGCTTCTAGAGATTAATAGGGTAGAAGAGAGCCTATGGGTTAACATGGCATGTTCTCTTAGAAAGAAATATTTTGTATTGTATTGGATTAAGCCTTTATGTTTACTCATTTGCAGTAAGTCAAATAACATTGATTTGTATGCAAAATGTGTTTCTAAAAATAGCAGTATTAGCTTCTGATAAAAAATAGAAGAATAATGGTAGGAAATTGGTTTGGAATATATAAATGATCCTTACCTCTCGATAACTGTTCCATTATGAATCATCCAGATGTCACAATATGTGCGAAGTACCAACATAATGGCAATAAGTATCAAATAACCTGTCTATTATAAGAAAGATAGAAACCATATTTAGAACTGGATTAATTTTGGGAGCTTTGCACAGAAAGCATACAGATCTTTTCCAACCATAATTGAATCAGTACAAATTAAACTTTAAAATAAAGCTAATCTGCTCCAAATATGAAGTACACACACTCCTTGAATTACAACCAAAATAAGGACCGGAAGAAAAAAAAAATCACCGTTAAGCAGGGTGGTTATTAAGTGAGACATGATGAGACTGAATCTGATTTTACAACTTTTTACCATAGTCGTTAAGCGAATCACGTGCAACTCCCCCATTGACTTTGCTTCTCGGAAGCCAGCTAGGAAGATTGCAAATGGAAATGACATGACAATCGGATACTGCAACTGTCCTAAGTGTGACTGAGTTTTTAAGTGCCTGGATTGTGATTACATGAGTGCAGGGATCCTGCAAAGTCATAAGTGCAAGAACTGGTCATAAGTCCCTTTTTTCAGTTCTGTTGTAACTTAGAATGGTCACTAAATTGAGGACTACCTGTGTAGTAGAGATGTAGGGATTTATTTTATAAGGCAAAGATAAGGATTTATAAGGCAAAGATAAGAGGATAATGGGTATAAAAATGAAAAAAAAAAGAAAAGAAACTTTTGCAGATGATTTGGTGTTGGAAGATCCTTTAAAGAGGGTTGAATCTAATGAGAAAATTAAAAGAATTTGATGAATTAGTTGGCTTTAAGTTTAATTAATAGAAGACAAATGTGTTAAGAAAAATATGAAAATACAAAATAATACAGAACTGATGAACAATATAAGTTTCAAAATTGAGAAAAAGGTAAACTATCTGGGTGGTTAATTCGATAAATATGAATTGTATGTTGTTTCAAAATAATTATGTTAAGATATGGAATGAAGTTAAAAAAGATATGTTAAAAAGAGAACAACTACAACTGTCATTATTAGGAAGAATTTATGTGATCAAGATTGATGTTTTACCTAGAATGTTATTTTTGTTTCATACAATACCTGTATTGATAGCTGATGTATGTACCATTTAAACAAACACATATCTAAATTTATGTGGCAGGTAAGTAATTACACAAATCAAGTACATGGTATTACTTAAGAAAGACAGCTTAGGTTTACCTGATTTGAAATTGCATTTTACAGCGTGTTATTTAGTTTGGATCAAAGAGTGGATTACACTGACAGACAAAGGTTATTGAAAACAAAAGACAATTGAACGTTTTCCTATGTATAATTAAAAGCAAGATTCAGTGTAGATAAATGGACTTTTGGCTTTTAACATGGTAAGACTGAAATAGAATTATGATTTAAATAATGAATATGTTATTGCTAAAATGTATAAACTTTTAGTGAAATTTGAAACAGAAGATAAACAAATGAAAAACATGATGTAAGTATAATAAAATGAGCTAGAAACTTTAATATACAAATGGAATAATGGGAGAATACGTAGATGGAACGATTGAAATTCACATTGTGTTATAATCCTTAAAGATTACAAAGTGATGTCCTATTGATATTTGTCACTGGAAAGATTCTCTAAAATGTTTAAAGATACCTCAAATACATTTTGGAAATATGTACAACAAGAGAGGGCTTTTTTATTATGCTTGATGAACATGTAAACAAACTAAAAAAAATGGATTCAAGTATACATATTAATTTAGAAAAATTTAAAGATTAATATACAATTGAAACCAGAGATATTCCTTTTGGGTCTGATGGACAAACAGTTGGAGAAACTCGTAAAATTTTGTTTCAATATATGATAACAGCAGTGAGATTTTTATATGGACAACAATGGAAATATTTGACATTACTGTACCTACAATGGTAAAATAGATGGTGAAGTTGATAAGAGTTGGCTTAGTTGATGAAACTGACAGCTTTGGTTAGGGAGAAGACATTGATTAATTTTAATGCTGAGTAGAAGCCCTTTCTGGACTTTTTTCAGAAACAGAAAAAATGAAATTATGAGATATGGGTTTGATGTTATAAAAATAGTAGACAATGGGAAAAATTTATACTTATATCTATGGTAAAAGAAATTCAGAAGTGGTTTCTTTATCTTTCTGTACTTTTACCTTTTTTCATTCTTTACTTTTTTCTCTAACTTAATTATTAGTTTTTGTTAGTTTTTATCTTTTTATTTGAAAAGTCTAATGAAGTTATTTTAAAAAAGAAATCAGGACTATAGTCACACTCAGCCTCTTTTTATATGTACTCTTAATAATAATAATAATTTCTTTCTCCATTTCTAAGAAATTCTTATCTTGTTTCATTTCTTTTCAGTATAAACGCAAAGCAAGAGTCCAAAATTCTTGTAACTATTATATATTAGAAAACTCCTGTTACTACCAGTACAGTCAAGTTTAATACTGTATTATCTTCAGTTTAGGTTAGTTAGTTTTCAGTTCATATCTGAATAATCAAGGTAGAAAAAACAAACTGGGCCTTTGAAGAAATTGCACACTTTGTGTATGTGTGTGTGTACAAAGTTTATTTGCGCGCGCAATTTTTTTCAGAGCAAGCTGACTTCTAGTCCTAATATGATTGTTACAGTATACTTTAACCATGTCTTTCAGATGGCTGACTTGCAGAAATTTAATGCAGCATATTAACATACAGTAGCATACAAACAAACAAAACATGCAAGACTACTATCACTTTGAACACTTTGTGTTTGTAAAACACTTTGTGTTTGTAAAAAACAGGAAAAAGAGTCCAGCTTTAAGACCCAATTTGTATCTTTAACAGACTTGCTGCTTTGGATTCATTTAAGAACATCTACAGCAGTGATGGCGAACCTTTTAGAGACCGAGTGCCCAAAATCCGCCCCCCGTCCCTGCTCCGCCTCCCGCCCTGCCTGCTCCACTCCTGCCCACCCCTTGCCCCGCCCGCAGGGCCACGCACTGCCTCCATGGCCCGCTGCAGATCGCCCAGGCAGCTCTGCAGCGCCATGTCAGCCACGCCTTCCGCTCACACCCCGCAGCAGCATCTGCACGCTATGGGGCATGAGGATGGAGTCTTGTCCCTGCTGCCTGGCTATGTCCTTGGCTGCACTGCTCTGTGCGGGCTGTGCCTGAGGACGACTCTCCTCCAGGGGGGCTGCTGGTGAGGAGGGGGCTGTGGGGGGAGGCGGGGCTGGGATGACAGCACATGTGCCCACAGAGAGGGCTCCGAGTGCCGCCTCTGGCACCCGTGCCATAGGTTCGCCACCACTGATCTACAGCAATCAAATTACAGCATACGGTTTTCCATGTTTAACTAAGTCAAGTTAATAAGAACAACCATCCACCAAATACTACATTAGTAAGTATAGGTTTAACACGGCCAACCATAAAAATATTCAGGAGTCAGTTTGACATAAACGGCAATTGCAAATTACTAAATTTGTAGTTTTCAAATGACTGAAATGAACAGCCTTCATGTTGAATTGGCATTCTGAAAGATAACAAGCTAGTAGGATTTCATAACAAAAATATTACACTGGGTATTCTTTATTTGCAACTTACCTCTTTACAAAATGTCCTGGGGACCATAATTTTCAGAATTTGACAAATTCTTGCAAGAAATACTCTATCTACTACAGCTCGTTCTTTTTTGACTTCTTTCTGCATATTAAAAGATTACAGGAGGAAACGGTCTCATCAAAACAAGTGTAATCTTAATTATTTCAACAAAGCTAAACAATTTAATGTGAATTACTCTCCGAATCCTAGATGTCAAATAAAGAATATTTATGCTTTTGCTTTGCAAAAGAAACAGGGCTTGCCATTTTCTTCATTATATTCGTGATGTATCTTTATTTTATCAATGCTTATTCTTCAATGAATCAAATGGGTAGGTTGTAAATCCAGCCAGCAAGAATAGACCAAAAAGACTGAACTGGGAGATGAAGTTAGTACATGCCTGCCCTTCCACTTCCCACGCCAAATTGGATTATTGCAGGCAATTTTACTGTTATTTCCAAGTGAAAATCCAAAAGACAAAACAGCTCTCTTTCGCCTGGATTATATTCAGTAATAAAAACATGACCTTATGTATTTTAGCAGTACATGTGAAATAGCTTACAATTTGGCAGGAGATTTTACACTGGTATAGAATAAATAGGTAAATAGAGTGTTTTAAAGAGGCGTTTCGCGAAGTGTGAATGAAGTCTCTCTCCTTGAAGCGTTAAAGCAGTCGCCTCTTTTGTCAGGCTCGTGTGGCTGTTTCAAAGGTTGTCCCTTGTCTGTCTGCACAGCCATCAGATTCAGGCCCAGATAAATAAACACAGCCCTCTAAGTTGTCACACAAGCTTTGCAGAAAATGCAGCTGCTTTAATCCTTCAAAAAGAGGTTTATCTGCACTCAACTCTTTTGAAAAGCACTTCTTTCAAATGTTTTCCATATCCCCATTAAGTATCTACTTCTCATTCATCCAAACATGTATGACCAGTTCTTAAGAACTGAAATGTACATAGCGTAGATTTAAAGAAAATATTTTAACTTTGATATATTTTGGTCACAAAAGGAAAACTATTATAAAACACTTTAAGAAACGTACTTATTAAAGCAGCCTACACATAAGCAATACAATTGAGTTCACTATGATGTAAATATTGCAAATATTGCAAAACAGATGCCATCTTGAAGAAAAGCTGCATTGTTTAAAACATTTTACATTGGCCAATATAAACCGCCTGGTTATCATCTTCCTTTTGCTAAGATTAGTGGATATAAACTTTTTTTTTTCAAATTCATTCTAGTAGATCAAAGCTGTAGAATTATTAAATCATATAATGTACTACTTCTGCCACACAGCAAATCTAGTATTTATTACTCCATTTTTAATAAATTCCCTGAAAGGACTATGAATAGGTATTTTATTTCTGTATTAGCCAATATTAAAAGAAGTGTGATTTACAGTGCAGCCACTGTAAAATTTGATTTTTGTGGAAGTTTATCTATATTATAAAAATAAAAATAAATGTATTATAATTATTTCAGTTTCTAAATGAAGCTACATATAATGACTTAGTGCTACTATGTCATAATCTTTTATTTTATTTATTTATTACTGCAGTCAGTGAAATTCCATATATAGAATTATATAATATACATCACTTAAATAGATATTATATTTTCCCACTATATAAGAGAAAATATAGCTAAAACACTCTTCTAACCTCTTCTTTAATGTATTTAGCATATTTCTACACACAACATAATTTCATGGAATTTCAGCAATCATCTGATCTAGATTTGATAGGGTAACTATAAGTAAAACTTACCTCATTGCTGGATAAATTTTTTCCATTTTTCTTTCTGTAAATAATACATTTATTTTACTTTTATTGTTTCTTACAAAGTTCTTTACAAAATTAACAGAACACATTATTGAAGTTGTTTCTTTACCAAATAAAACCAACACACACACACACACACACACACACACACTAGCCATTGGACATTTTTAGAGTTAAATTAATATTAGCTAATTTTGTTTTAGTTTCTCCTGATTTTATAATCTTCAATATGATTACTGTTCCTGTATAATTTAAATGATGAAGCATCTCTGCCAGAAATCATAACTCTAAAGATATTTCCCATTGTTATTTGAGAAAAATAAAAACAGAATTACATAGTTTCAAATTACATAACAAAACTGGAAGGATGTCTCGATTCCTACCATAGACGTAACGGTTACAAAAGCTGATGGAATTAGCAGAGATGGCCAAAATTGACTATGCTGATAAAAGAAAAGAACATAAGTACTTTTGTTTCTACTTGGAAACCACTTCTGGACTTTGTGCCTGAGGTGGAAAAAAATGATATCATGGTTTTGGGTTTTACCGATTAGACTGATATGCCGATACAGAAATGGCTAGTGCATACTATTATAGAAATGTGAAAAGTTGAGATTTGATTTTAATGTCTGATTTTCCTGCAACAGAGAGAGTCGGAAGTCAATGCCTTTTGTTTCTTCCCCTCCCTTTTTTCACACCTTTTTTGTTTTCCCTTTTTCTATTGTTGTCCCTTACTATTTGCTTTTGCATTTTCACATTTTATGTTATAAATGAATAAAACTAATTTTTAAAAAAGAAGACATCAGAAGAAGATGATACAGTTACATTTAAAGAAAACAAAAGGTGCACACATATAACACAAGGAACCTCTATAAAGCTAGTGGGCTATCAGAAATACCGTAGAATAACAAAATGATGGCTAATCAGGAATTATGTTTCTTGTATATTTCAAATACAACCAAAATGAAGTTAAGAAATTATTAGCAACGGGAACAAACCAACTAGAATGAATGCTTTGTTATTTTGATTTTTCACCATTCTACATAGGTTATATCTATAAAGACAGTTTTGTATTTAGTATAAGAAGTTTCTTGATGTGTTTCCAAAACTGTGCAATATCAGATTAGCTGATTTCCTGACTTCCACATGTTGAGCTCTGCTCAAATATGATTAATTTTTCTACTCCCATATTTGATTAGTTCACATCCAATATCTGTTTGAAAGGACAGACAGAATTAAAATAAATCCATTACCTAAATGCAAAGCAAAATTGTAGATAAAAATATCAATTAATTAAACCTTCATCACTTTAACATGCCTCATCACTTTAACATCATTCAGCAAACACCAAGCTGAAATCCAATACAATCTTACAATCATTCATTTAATGATTGTTCAAAGCTACGATGACATTGAAAACAGTGATTTATGACCAGTTTTCACACTTATGACCTTTGCAGCGTCCCTACAGCCATGTGATCAAACTTTGGGTGCTTGGCAACCAGCATGGATTTACGATGGTTGCAGCATCCCAGGTCCTAGGATTGTCATCTGCAACTTTCTTAGGGAGCTTTTGACAAGCAAAGTCAAAGGGAAAATCCAGATTCACTTAACAACCACATGATTGCCTTAACAACTTCAATGATTCGTTTAACAACCATGGCAAAAGGGTCACAAAATGGAACACAACTCACTTAACAACTGTCTTGCTTAACAAAGGGTGGTGACCCTTTGAGAGCTGAATGCAACGAAATTTCATTTTAATGTATGCCAATTAGGGTACATTCAAAGTGACAATAAAGGCCTATTCTATTCTATTCTATTCTATTCTATTCTATTCTATTCTATTCTATTCTATGAAAATTTTGGACTCAATTGTGGCTGTAAGAACTACCTGTACGTTAAATGCTACATTTTATTAACTTTTGATCTTTGTTTTCCTTGTGATGTAATCAACAATGTGTCTTTTAGGAATTCCTCCATCACACAAGTGCAGGACCTGGCATCTCTGGCTGCGTGTGGCCTCAAACTCCTTTGGTCCATCCCCCAGAGCTCCTTCAAAAGTTCTCATATCTATTACGTGTATAGGGAGTAGTCAAATTAATTGTAGTAAACTTAATGTTTAAGTGAAATCAAATTTAGTTCTCTTCCTAGCCTTCCCCAACTATTGCAGTACAACTTTCTGACAATCTACTTCAAGGCAATATGCAACTGTTGGCCAAGAATAATAGTGACATATTCTTACTTTATTGTTCTTCAGTCCAGCTGTAGCTACTTAAGGGTTCTCCTCCAAGATGGGGTCTTTACGGTGCTTTCCAAAAGTAAAATTCCAAAATAATGCTTCTTTTTTTTGAAGCTGGGTACCAGAGTCTTACATGCAATACACTCACAAACGCTCATAATATGATGTTTGCCATTTCAATTGTTCTTTTCTTTCATTTAAATGCGAACATGAAATGTTAGCACAGGTATGTGTGGGAAAGATACTACAGATAGTCCTCGACTTATAACAGTTTAGTTAGTGACCGTTCGAAGTTATAACATCACTGAAAAAAAATGACTTATGACCATTTTTCACACTTTACGACCGTTGCAGCATCCCCATGGTCACATGATTAAAATTTAGATGCTTGGCAGCTGGTTCATATTTATGACGGCTACAGTGTCCCGGGTCATATGATCCCCCTTTTGCATCCTTCTGACAAGCAAAGCCAATGGGGAAGCCAGATTCACTTAACAACCATGTTACTAACTTAACAACTGCAGTGATTCACTTAATAACTGTGGCAAGAAACACCGTAAAATGGGGCAAAATTCACTTAACAACTGTCTCAGCAACAGAAATTTGGGGCTCAACTGTGGTCCTAAGTTGAGGACCACCTGTAGTTCAGATCTTGAGTCTATGTATTTACTAACCTGCTTATGTTACCTTTGGCACAATTCATCCCTTTAAATCTACTTATTGACTAAATGATGAATTTTAGAATCGGACAAGTAAATTATTACCAAATGAGTATCAAGCAATTTTACTGTTATTCAAACCAATCGTTAAAAAAGACATAGCAAGGAAATATAATCTAACACTAATAAAATTGCTATTATACCCGCCACTTTTTTAAAAAACTAAAAACTAAATTGTATGATCCATACCAGGACCTTGGACACATCCTAAGAAAGTCAAGATTTCATCCAAGAGTTTAATAATAAAACCTTCTGCCTAGACATGAGTCAGAATAAATAATTTCTATAAGAAGATAGCCATGGTTTTCCCAGTTGCAATGTATGGATGTGAAAGTTGGACCATAAGAAAGGCTGAGTGCAAAAGAATTGAGGCCTTTGAACTATGGTGCTGGAGAAGACTCCTGTGAGTCCCCTGGACTGCAAGGCGATCAAACCGGTCAGTCCTAGAGGAGATCAATCCTGACTGCTCTTTAGAAGGCCAGATCCTGAAGTTGAAACTCAAGTACTTTGGCCACCTAATGAGAAGGAAGGACTCACTGGAGAAGGGTCTAATGCTGGGAAAGATTGAGGGCAATAGAAGAAGGGAACGACAGAGAATGAGGTGGCTGGATGGAGTCACTGAAGCAGAAGGCGTGAGCTTAAATGGACTCCAGAAGATGGTAGAGGACAGGAAGGCTTGGAGGAACATTGTCCATGGGGTCGCGATGGGTCAGACATGACTTCGCAACTAACAGCAACAGCATAAGAAGATATTCCTAAATGATACCATAAATAGTGAAAGCACTGGAAGACAGGAGAACCAGAGCTAAGAAGTCACATCAGTTCTCATTATTCTCTGTGATGAAGAAATGACTTCTAAGCTATCTGATGGCTATCTGAAGGCTACAATCTTCTCACAGCCCCTTCAGAGTTTTGATTTCATAAGAAGCTTAAGATTTAAAACATCCTGTCAGACTACTTTTTCTGCTGTCACCGCTCTTTCTCTCCACCCAGCTAGGTCTCGGAATATCAATGATTAATTGACAAACCCAAGAAACTCCTTCCTTACCTTACTCTGCTTTTTCCAGATTCTGCTCAAATATCACACAAGATCAGAACAGATCCCTTCTTTGCCAATGGGGAACTGCATTTGCTTTCACTGTGTTGAAAGGATAAAGCTGTGAGAGTAATTTCTCACACTGATAAGAAGCCTAGCAAACAATTACAAAAAGGATCGACAGATGCAGTCATGCCTTCAAAAGAGGCAAGCCTCCTTTTCCTCTTTGAAGGAAAAGAGGATGAGAAAGCGGACCACGATTTTGCCCCCTATGTATATAGTTTCCTTATTTCAAAGTGGAGAACTTACTGGAACCCTTGTGCTAAAGCTTTACTTTTTTTCTAATAGCTATTGCTAAAGTTCCAACACACCTGCGTTTAACTGTTTTCAATCCACATGGCTGCAAAGGAAGTCTGACAACGGCTCATAATCCTAGACTTGACAAAAATGACATTTTGCAAATATATCTATACCGACCACATTCATTTCTGGCTTTTGCCTTTTTTTTGTAACTCTCATTTGTACATTAATGAAAATACTGTATAATGTGTTTGGTTTTCCACAATTATTTTCTGTCAATTATCGGTAGGAATCAAAATTCCAAAGAATCAAAAGTAACATACTGACTTGCTGTGAAGGACGTGTTCTATGTTACAATAGTCAGACTAAATGTTGCTTCATTTCTATTAACGTAAATAAATTATCTTTCTTATTTTCACTATTTTACTGCAAAATTCATCCTCATGCTTTTATACAACAGTAGCAAAGCTACTGTAGCAAACCAGCAGAGTTCTATGTGTTCTTCATTAGTCATGTCCCATGATATTCACTTGGGAGAAACTATCAAAAGAATAAAACAGGAATGATTCCAGATTCTGGATGATACTGCTGTAGATATGGATATAATCTTGACTTAAGGGAACATTTATGTTTGGCTTCAATCAATTTCCTTGCAACGGAATATTATTTCCCTTTGACTGAATTTTATCACAGGTATAGTTAATATATCTTTCCTTGGTGGCAATGTATATAAGAATCCTTCAAAAATTAGCACTGAAGAATTCAACCAGGTGCTCTCTAAATCTGTAATGAGAGAATTATGATCTTCTGGAACTTGTTAACAGGAACTTAATTCAGTTAAGATCTGAAAAAATGAAGTTTCTTTACTCCTATTCTAAACACTATTATCCTGTAGATAGTTTTTCCTTAATTTTCATTTAGCATCCTACTACCTTTGTAAAGGATATACTATGACACAACTATTTCTTTAGTTGAATAATCAACTATCATTCAGATCAGTAGAACAAAGGTTATGTCCTTGCGACATAATCCTCTCACCTACAAAATTAAGTAATTGTGGTTGCCAAATGCTATTTTATATTGTGTGAGTATAAAACCTTCTATAGTACTTGGGATAATATGTTAATATCAAAGCTAATGTTTGAACTATGCTGCACTGTGCAATTCCTATTTGGATAAAAATATATTGTTTAGCAAATTAAAACATTTATGTCAAAACGTTTCCAAACATATGTATTCACAAATCTATTCATGGATAGCAAATTTCATTTATTTATTTCTCTATGCAGAAAACTAATAATTTCACAAATGTAATTTTAATTAAAATTAACTAACTAAATAAACTAACTAAATCATTTAACATGAATTGCCTGGATCTTAACTGGGAACCCAAAGGTCATTTAATTTAATAGGGATTTCCATCAATTATATTTTTTTGAATATTCATTCTAATAAAATTCACCAGAGAAGATTTGAGATGCTGAAGAGACAGTATTTAAAAAAAGAGAAGTGGAGTTTACTATGTGACTGGAGAATCACTGGATATCATATTATGTCTATAAAATTAATGTGGCAAATGTAGCTAGGGGAATTTTGCACAAAGCTGTTCTTGTGCACCAGTTATGCCCTTTCCTGAACTTCTTCATGATTACTCCCACCTTGGTCACTTCCCTTTGGATTACTGCAATGAATCCTACATGGCACTATCTGATCCAAAGGGCAGCTGTATGCACAGGGCTGAGCGCCTGTAGATTGATCCATATTGATTGATCCATGAACTATATTGCCTCCCAGTTTCTTTCTGGGTCCAATTAAGTTGCTGATTATCACCTTTAAAATCCTACGTGGCCTGGTCATCTACGGTACTGCCTCTCTCTGACAGTATCTGCTCATTCCACCAAAGCAGATAGCGTGGGCACAGTCCCAGTCCCTTAAACACTGCCATCTTATAGGTCCTAGGAAGTGTGCCTTCTCCACTGCCAGCACGGATCTCTTATGAAACAGAGATCTGACAGCCCCCCATCCTTTTAACCCCCAGGAAGGTGGTGAAATCTGGCATTTCCCTCTTGTGTTGGGATAGGGTGAGGTTAGAGTGGGAAGATAATGTTAGAAGTTGCATCAAGAAAGTGTCCTTGTTGCGCCTGGTTTTTTTTTAATTGTTTATTTTGTTTTTGTTGTTGCATATATTGCTTTATTTTTTCAGTTGTAAGACACCCAGAGTTTGGGTTTAAAATGGACAGCTCTATAAATATTCTAAATAAATAACTAAAATAGGCAAAAGGCAAAACTAAAAAAAGGAAAAATGCATTAGTATGTATATAGGTATGATCTGCTTGTCAGGTAATTTATAAAATACACAAAATTTGTTGCCAAATCAAAGGAGCATGATACATCATTTAACAATTAAATAGAATTTCAGGAAAATAAAATCATGATCAAGGTCTAAGGACACATTGAAAATATGGTAGCTATTGAATTTGTCAATTGGATAAACTGCTTTCCTTAGTACTGGCAGCATATAATGGTTTTTTGTGTATGTATGTGTTCAACTCATATAAAAATTCAATTTGCTAGTATAAAGACAAACAATTAAACTAATTGTTGTATAATTATTTTAATGCTGGGCAGTATCAGCCTATAAATCTTTGAAAGTGTTTCTGTCAAGTTTACTAAGTTTTTTTAAAAAATAATTTTTACTACCTAAACTGTAGTCTGAGTCATCACAGCTATAAACTTGCAAGATACACAGTAGTATGAATAATAATAATGATGATGATGATGATGGTGATGATGATGATGATGATAAAGTTGGAAGAGACCTTGGAGGTCATCTAGTCCAACCCCCTGCTCAGGCAGGAAACCCTATACCATTTCGGACAAATGGCTGTCCAGTTTCTTCTTAAAAACTTCCAGTGTTGGCGCGTTCACCGCTTCTGGAGGCAGGTTTTTCCACTGGTTAATTGTTCTAACTGTCAGGAAGTTTCTCCTTAGTTCTAGGTTGCTTCTCTCTTTGGTTAGTTTCCACCCGTTGCTTCTTGTCCTGCCTTCAGGCGCTTTGGAAAATAGCTTGACTCCCTCTTCTTTGTGGCAGCCGCTGAGATCTTAGCCCATCATCAGATTTGTTGCTGTAGCAAAGTTTTAATGGCTGTCCATAATTATTTCTGGTGCTGAATAATACCAGATCTTGAATATCCAGCTTGTTTGTTCATTTCCCTTTGAGAGTGGGCTCGCTGAGGCAAAAGAATGATTTTATGTCTGTCAAATTCTGTGATTTTTGGTGTTTGGAGGAATTATATGATTGAACATTGGCTTTATTAGCTAGGTTCCAATGAATTACACTCATACAACATGTGTCTGTATTGTATGTAATGCTCAAGAAGGTCTTGCACAAACCTGGCATAATAAACCTTTTCGCACAGCAGGCATTTTGACAGGAAATAGTAGGACACATGCATGTGACCTACTTGGCAGTAGTTAGGGTTCCATTCCATTTAGGTTTACAGGAGCCAGGTGTCTGCTGTTGCTCAAGTGTAAGGGGAAGTCACACTAAATCAGGGGTCTTCAAACTTGGCCCTTTTATGACTTGTGGACTTCAACTCCCAGAATTCCTCAGCCAGCATGCCTGGCTGAGGAATTCTGGGAGTTGAAGTCCACAAGTCATAAAAGGGCCAAGTTTGAAGACCCCTGCACTAAATACTTGCCCCTTTAGCCTACAGGAGCTTTTTTTTCTGCTTTTTCCTATTTTTGAATGCTGCATACAAATTCCCTGTATTTTCTGGTTGTGTCCTAATAAGGAGACTGAGATATATAATTATTTATGGTCATTATATAATTGCCACATCAAATCTAATGATGGCCTAAGACTTGCACAGTACTCTGCATACCAGCAATAATAGGTTTACCCACATGGCAGTGTTTCAACAGGGAATCTTATAAGCTGAACAATAATGATCTTTGTTAACTACCCTTCAGAAGACTCAACTTTTACATAATTTTTTTTCTCCCTTGGTTCATACATACATCATGTTTCATATAGGATAACCTGCAGTGACCCCATGCAGTTTGTGTAAATTAGATCCTTTGTATAAGAGCCATTGAGTATATTGTGAAGGATAACTACAGTATTATGATTGTAACATTAACATAATATACATTTTTAAAGTAATACAATTTCTTTCTCCTAACAAAGGAGAATTCTGGAATCAACAGCCAGAGCAAACACCAGCATCACTTAGCAAACAAATCACTATAATTCCAAGATGTATATCATAGCTTTGATTTATCTTAAAACGTGGCCACTTGATTACTGAAAACAAACCCATACAAATCTTGGAACGTACCTCCAAGATTAGTGAAGTCATACCTAAACACTGCATCCACTGTTTATGTTTTCCAATTAACTGGATTCCAAATATCAGAAAGAAATAATAGGAGAAGACGCTCTCTCTCGTCCTCTCTCCTCATTGGCCAAGCTAACTAGAACTGATCACAGAGGTTGATCACCAAGCTTTGCAGACGAGTTTGGAAGGGAAGAGTTGGGTTGAAGGAAGAGGAAGATTTCCAAGATCAGACAAATAACCTGCCTTCCCCCGTTGAAAAAAAAAACCCACACCTGCTGAACATCCACCTGTTCCCTAGGGATCAAGCAGCTCAACGGCGCCGCTTTTTGTTGACCTCTTGTCAATTACGAAATCCCTTTCAGATTCCACCTTCCGAACTGGGACCGGCCCTTAGGTAACTGGAGGAAAGGTGAAGATCGTTCATCCCAGCCCAACCTCACCCAACTCGAATGACCTTCCAGCTTCGGGCCACCTTGGAGAAGCCAGCCTGTCGCCCAACATCGCAATCGCAGCCCCGATCCTAACCGGCCTCCAGCCGGCCCCCTCCCGAACCCCCCCTCCCCAATTACTGACCCGTGCAAGGCGGCAGCGGCCGCTTTCCGCCGCTTGTTGATCAGGCAAATCAGGGCGCAGGCGGCAGCGGCGGTGCCGGCCACGGTGGAGTAGCGCGCGGTGAGGAACTTGCTGTAGGAGGCCATGGCGGCGCAGCAAGGACGAAGACGGCGAGCGCAACCCGAGCGGCGAAGCGGCGGCTGCCGACCGGAGGAGAGGATTCGCCGCAAAGAGGGACGTCGGGAAAAAAAGGTGGCGTCTGCCGGCAACAGAGGAGCGTCGGGCCTTGCCCTCTTTCTGGCAACTCCGCCTTGGCTCCTCCTCACCCGGCAGCCGGGCCCGAGCCTTGGCAGACTCAGCAGAGAGCGCCAAAAGCACCGAGGCCGATTCACTACAATAGAGGCGTTTGCGTCTGACCATGCTTAGATACCCACGAGCGTGCGTGGACTGAAAATTAAGCTGGCTGTATTGGAATGGAAGAGCAAGGAGGGAATCCCCGGGTTTTAAAGTTAGACTGAGAAGTCGTCAAAACATCCCGGAAGGAAGCAGTAGCAATACACTTCTCGCTTCTTGGCAAGGGAGCTACTTATCTTGTGTTTCTTATCTCTGTTTCAAGAGTAGGTGTTAAAGCAACTCTACAGGTAGTCTCCGACTTAGGATTTGCAACTGAGCCCAGAATTGACTTTGCTAAGTGAGAAATTTGTTAAGTGAGTTTTGCCCCATTTTATGACTTTTCTTGCCGCATTTGTTAAGTGAATCACTGCAGTTGTTAAATTAGTAGCATGGCTGTTAAGTGAATCTGGCTTCCCCATTGACTCTGCTTGTCAGAAGTTCACAAAAGGTGACCCCGGGATACTGCAAGCGTCATAATTATGAACTAATTGTCAAAACCTCCAAGTAACGTGATCCTAGGGATGCTGCAACGATCATTGAGGGTGAAAAATCGTCATAAGTCACTTTTTTCAGTGGCATTATAACTTTGCACGGTTAGGGTTGCCAGGTCTGCTTCCCAAAAATAGCGGACAAGCGGGGGGGGGGGNTTAAGTAGTAAAAAAAGTAGACTGTACAGCTTTAGATTACGTACCATTTCATCATAAAGCTTTTGAATAAAAAAAATGTCCACTATTTTGTGAAAAAAATAGTGAACATAATGTGAAAAAAGTGGACTGTCCACTCAAATAGTGGACACCTGGCAACCCTATGCACGGTCACTAAATGAACTGTTGTAAGTCGAGGACTACCTGTACCTCTGGAAGCAGCCACTGCTGTTCACCCTCTCTGCCTGGAGATTTTTGGGGCAATGAGATTACTTCTCTTCTAATTGTGACCTTGCAGACTTGCAGTTAATCATAACTTGCACATTTAATTCTGCATTCATTTCAGTGTGTTCCTACATGTGCTTTTGCAAAATGTAAAAATGGAAGCTCTAGATGTCCTACCTTTGTACCTCATGTGTTTAAACAGTTTTTTTCAGTAGGGTATGAAATACAGTACATTTAGTTCTTGATTTATGACCACAGCACCAGAATCCCAATGGTTGACCGAAGCACTTATTAAGCGAGATCATGTGACTGCTTTGCTCAACAACTGCATTTCCAGTTGTAGTTGCTAAGTGATCTTGCAGGTCATTAACTGGACAGAGCTCCACGTGAGAACTATGGGGTACTGGGGTGGGGGGGAGGAAATCCTGGGAGGCCTGGTGCAGGTGGTATGTAAGTGTCTTTCCACTCAGGAACTGAACCCTGCCAAATCCAAGTAGGATTTTCAACCAGTGAGTGGAGACAGACACTAGTGCACAATCTGTGTCTGGCCTCCTGCACACTTCTGAAGCAGCTTACACTGTTTAGTTTACTGTGTTGCCTCTCCACTCAGGGGTTAAAAATCCTACTTGAATTTCAACTCCCTCTCCTATCTGTGGGTTGGTAGAAAAGAGTTTGGTGCTGAAGGATTTCAATTGCACGTGTGTTGATTTTAGCGCAGGGGTTCCCAACCCATGGTCAACCTATGGCCACCGGGCCCCCCCACTCATGGTAGCACTGCTGTGCAGGCGCTAGCAGCCTCATTTGCACATGGATGCGGGCTCCAGCAGCCCATTTGCACGTGCACACGGGTGCCAGTGGCCCGTTTGCACATGCACATGGCGCCAGCATGCCACATGCGCATGGGTGCCAGCACACGCCACAGGTGTGCATCGCTTGCTTGTGCATGTGCACCCGCTAGTGCAGGGGTCCTCAACCTTGGCAACTTTAAGACTTGTGGACTTCAATTCCCAGAATTCCTCAGCCAGCAAAGCTGGCTGAGGAATTCTGGGAGTTGAAGTCCACAAGTCTTAAAGTTGCCAAGGTTGAGGACCCCTGCGCTAGTGCCATCATGCAGATGCCCATTTATGCATGCACATGCAGGGCTGCACGCATGCACATTTCCCTGCTCTTCCCTTCTGGGCCGCCAAACTGGAAAGGTTGGGGAGCTCTGTTTTAGCACATAATTTTTTCAGCCAGTTCCCAGAGTTGAGACAAAGTTCTCAATAGGAGGTAGCAGCTTGCAACCTTCTCTGCCAGATGCCTACGGAGATTCTCAGTCATCTAGGTCATGGTTGTCCCAAAGGTGCTTTTTCAAAAGGCAACTGGGCTTTCTTGTTTTTTCTCTTGAAGACATTTCGTTTCTCTTCCAAGAAGCTTCTTCAGCTCTGATTGGATTGTGGGAAATGGAAGGATTTATATTCCTTGCAGACAGCTGGTCATTTGCATTCTTTTAGAGAGTCGCTGAGGCTACTTGGAGGTTTATCTGTGTCCTCAAGGCCACCTGACTAGTGCAAACAGGTGTGGAGCCTTCTTGGAACAGCTGAAAGACTGTGTTGTTGATAAATGATGTTGTATCCCTCCCCCTCTGTTGAGAGAAGGCTGTTCAGTTTTGACATAGATGACCTCTCTGACCCCTCTTTCAAACTAAAATCTGTCCAAAATGGGGACTTCGCTGTCTTCAAAAAAGTGGCCTTTGTCTTTTAAATCAGGGCCCCCCAATCTGTGGGACAGGCTGGCCAGTGCGCACACACCTCACTTGCGCTAGCGCCGTGGCCGTAGGGGAGAAATGGGCCGTGGCTTCACTATGGGGCGCAAAAACAAGACACCGTTGATGCGGGACGCAAAAATGGTGCTGCACCATGCAAGAACAGGCAGGGCTAGCGAGTATTACATGGGTGCTGGTGCCACTCTGTTTGCGTCACGCATGTGCTCACGGCCCCATAAGCGCATGCATGCGCACGCGTACACATTTAAAATGCTTCCCCTTCCCTTTCCCTCCGATCTGCCAACTGAGAAAGGTTGGTGACCTCAGTTTTAAATGCATATGGACTGCTGAATCTTGTCCTGATGGGTTTGTTCGCCTACATTGTGCCATGCGTTTATGAAGTGGTTGTTTTGTTTCTCCAATGTACAGATCTGCACATGGCTCACTGCATTGTGCTGCATATACCACGCTGCTTAGTTTGTGTTTGGGTGTTTTATCCTTGGGGTGGACAAGCTTCTGCCTTAGTGTATTCTTGGGTTTAAACCACACTTTAAACCACAACCTCCAAGTGGCCTCAACAACTCCCTAAAAGAATGCAAATGACCAGCTGTCTGCAAGGAATATAAATCCTTCCATTTCCCACCATCCAATCAGAGCTGAAGAAGCTTCTTGGATGAGAACAAGAAAGTCCAGTTGCCTCTTGAAAAAGCACCTTTGGGGTTTTCCTACCAGCTTGCCCATTGACTTTTTGGGCAAGCTGGCAGAAAAAAATGCTAATGGCATTTACATGATTGTGGGGGCTTGGAAACCAGTCATACATGCAAACAGGCTGTCAAGCACACAAGTTGTGATCACATAACCGGGGAGGGATGCGACATTTTGCAGCTGTAGAAAGTGCTTTGCAGGCCATAAACCACGCTTTCTTAGGACATTCGTTTGAAGTGTTATTAAGCAAACAGTCATAAGTTGAAGACTGCCTATACTAAGACAGACAGTTAGCTGTCGTATTCTTGGCCAGTCATTCTCTCAGCTCTCACCTGATAGGCTTCTTGGTGTGAAGAAAGTAGGAAGCAGGGGTAATAAGTAGGTTTGCTGCTTTGAGTTGACAGACAGACAGACACACAACCTTCAAAAGTATTTATTTGCCTAAACCAGGGTAGTCAACCTTGGCTCTTTTATGACTCGTGGACTTCAACTCCCAGAATTCCTGAGCCAGCTGTGCTGGCTCAGGAATTCTGGGAGTTGAAGTCCACGAGTCATAAAAGAGCCAAGGTTGACTACCCCTGGCCTAAACAGAGAAACATGACCAAGGTAAAAGCAAAAAAGCAATGGGATCAGGAGTGATTTCTGACTTCCTGCTGGCTTCCCCACTGAATTTCCATGTGGAGCAGGGAGCTGAAGAGAACATTGGAAATCCCCTCCCCCTCCTTTTCCCAGCAAGCAGATAAATGACTGCTGCTGGGTGGGAAACAGAGGGAGGGATCGCAAGACTGGCTGGGAAAATATCACGGAATATTGAAAATAAAGATCACGTGACCACAGCAGCTCAGAAATAAAGCAGCAGCCAGTAGCACTGAAGCAGCCACAACTTTCCCAAATTTCATTCCCTCAGGAGTCATGGGTTTTGCATTTTGGATATGTTTTGTAGAAAGCCCGTTGGATTAAAAATGGTTTAATAATTTATTAATGTCCCTTTCAACTAAGTGATTCAAAATTATTGCCCGGTCATGGGCTATTTCACCCATTACATGATGTCCTCAATACGTTTTTCTTCATCTTTCACTTTGGTGGCCATGGCAAATCTTCCTTGCTTTCCGTGAGCAATGTTGTATCATCTGTATATCTGAGGTTGTCGATATTCCTACTGCTGATTTTAACCCCAGTGGTAGAGTCCTCCAAATCTGCATTTCTCATAACTATTTCTGTGTACATGTTGACTAGTATAGATGACAGGATGCTACCTTGCTGAGTGCCTTTTCTGAACCCAGTTCTGAACCATTTTGAGCCAGTTGTGTTATGATGATATTCCCAGTTTTTTGAGGCATTTTTTCAGAGCTTGTCATGGTCAACACAGTCGAAGACTTTTGTGTAGTCAATGAAGCGGATGTAGAGGTCTTTTTGGTATTCCTTTGCTTTTGCCATCATCCAACACAGAT